GCTTTGGGAAGAGTTAAACACATTGAATACACATGCACAATGTAAGTACCAGTGTACTTGTGGTGCCAAGGCAAATATGCACAAGGCTGAACAAGACAGAAGGCTAATTAGGTTTCTAATAGGTTTAAACGAGGTCTACATAGTTGTGAGAGGAAGCATTTTGATGATGAATCCACTGCCCAGTATTGCACAAGCCTTTTCTATCCTGATCCAGGAAGAAAAACAAAGAGAAGTTATGCCAAGTAACCATCTGATGATGGAGTCTGCTTCAATGAATGTCAGTGGTCTTGCAAATCCAGCTTTTAGGACAAATTATGCTCAACAGAGGAACACTACAGGAAACAACTCATACAGAGGCAGTTATCCATCCAACAGGTCACGCCTGTTTTGTGACTACTGCAAGAAGCAAGGGCACACTAAGGATAAATGCTACAAACTACACGGATTTCCCCAGGACTTCAAATTCACTAAAGGAAAAAGTACGGCATCCGCTGCAAGTATGCATGGAGGACCTGAAGGGATAGTTCCTAGAGGATGCAGTGAAGTTGGTGCTAGAAATCAAAGCATGGGGATTCAAAACCTGACAAAGGAGCAATATAATCAGTTACTGCATCTGTTGGAGAACTTCCATGGTGGAAGTGCAATTGAAGTCTCAAATAACATCACTAGTGGGGCAGCAAACTTTGCAGGTATATTGGCTTGCTCTACTCATAAAGAAATCATTGGTAATTTTTCATGTAAATGCTTCAAATCATCTGCTGAATATTGGATTTTAGACTCCGGAGCTTCTAATCATATGTCCTATAACAAAGCCCTATTAACCAACATTAAAATTCTACCTTATCCTTTCCTAGTAAACTTACCAAATGGATACAAAGTTAGAGTGACAGAAATTGGTGATGTAGTCCTTAGCCCTAAGCTGACCTTACACAAAGTGTTGTTTGTCCCCAGTTTTAAGTTCAATTTGATCTCAGTTCATTGTTTAACATCATACCTTAAGACAGTTGTCCAATTTTCTGATACTTCATGCATTTTGCAGGCCCCTTCAATGAAGAGGCCTCTGGAGATTGGTAGAGCAAGGAATGGTCTGTACTTCCTCTGCTCAAAATGTCAGTTCCTTAGTTCAGCTACTGTCCCCACTTCTCTCGTTGCAAATTCATGTTCTGCTTCTACTAGCAATCCAAACAATGCACAACCACATAAATCACTCACTGTAAATAATGACAACCTGGAAACTTGTCCTGCTAATTGTCTTTCATCATCATCTGTAAATGTTCCACTCTCAAGCAATAAGAAAGGTTCTTATACATCTTCTTGTCCTATTAATGTGTGTGGACCCTTTTCTAATTCTTCATCTTATAAAAATTGTGTTGACTATTTGTGGCACAACAGATTGGGCCATGTACCTTTTGTAAAAATGAGGGGAATATCATATATACCTGTAAACTTTGCACCCAAACAACCATTCTTATGTTCAATTTACCCTATGGCCAGGCAAACAAGATTACCATTTTCACAGAAAAATACATCATCTACCAATATTTTTGAACTATTACACATAGACCTCTGGGGGCCATACCACACAGTCACACATGACAATTACAAATATTTTCTTACCATAGTTGATGACTTTAGTAGGTCAACCTGGACATATCTTATGAGTTATAAAAGTAACACACTTCAAGTTCTAAGAACCTTTGTTTCTATGATAGAGAACCAGTTTAATTATTCCATTAAGTCCATGAGGTCTGACAATGGACTGGAGTTTGTCAACAATGAAACTTCATCATTTTTTTATTCCAAAGGAATTATACACCAGAAAACCTGTCCATACACACCTCAACAAAATGGCGTGGTGGAAAAAAAACACAGATATTTGTTGGAAACTGCAAGAGCCTTACTGTATCAGTCCAAGTTACCTATCAAATATTGGGGAGAATGCATTCTCACAGCCACATACTTGATTAATAGACTACCCTCTACAGTCCTGAATAACAAATCACCCTTTGAAATACTTTACAAAAACAAACCCAACTATTCACACCTTAAAAGCTTTGGATGTCTATGTTATCCTACCACTCTTAAAACTCATAAAGACAAATTTGAACCCAGAACTGAGCCTCATGTTTTTTGTAGGTTACCCATTTGGCACAAAAGGTTACAAGGTACTGAACTTAGCCACTAAAAGAATGCACATTTCCAGAGATGTACAATTCCATGAACATGTTTTTCCTTTTGTAGTGTCTTCTAATCACACTTCTCTTCCTTGTGTTTTGCCATANTACAATTCCATGAACATGTTTTCCCTTTTGTAGTGTCTTCTGATCACACTTCTCTTCCTTGTGTTTTGCCATCGTTTCATTCTGATCTTGCATGTGAAGGTCATAGAAATGCTGCCTTGAGTAATAGTTAGTCACCAACTGGGACTTCACCAAGTTCTGTCACCAACGTTTCTTTACCAGGTGATCAAGATATTTTCCCACTAGTTGATCAAAGCAACCATTCACCTGTTGATGCAGGTGTTTCTGAAAATTCACCTATCCTTTCAAATACCTCAGACCAACATACCACCAACACTTACTCATTCCCAAGTCCTACAAGACCATCCAGGACAGTAAAAATACCAAGCTACCTAAGTGATTATGTGTATTCCCTTCCAAATTTAATGAACAATACATCACACACTGTCTTGCTCAATTTTCCCCTTTTAGACCATCAACATATTTGTTTTACTGCTTTAAAAAAGGATAGTCAGCATATGATGAGAAACATTACTCATGAATCTGAGCCATGTTCTTATGAGGAAGCAGCCTTAAACCCTGCATGGCAAGCAGCCATGACACAAGAATTTGAGGCTTTGCATGCTAACCATACATGGGATTTAGTGACATTGCCTGCAGGTAAGAAAGCCATAGGATGCAGATGGGTGTATAAAATCAAACACAAAGCAGAAGGGACTGTTAAAAGATTCAAGGCAAGACTTGTGGTGAAGGGATACACACAACAAGCAGGAATAGACTATACTGAAACTTTTTCTCCAGTTGTCAAGATGACAACTGTTAGGACCCTTATTGGCATAGCAGTTAAAAGGGGCTGGAACCTTTTCCAACTAGATGTGAACAACGCATTCTTACATGGAGATCTACATGAAGAGGTGTACATGGAGGTACCACAGGGACTGCAGATTGAGGTTCCTAGTCTAGTTTGCAAGTTAAACAAGTCCTTGTATGGACTGAAACAAACAAGCAGGCAGTGGTATGCTAAGCTGACTGAAGCATTGTGCACCAGGGGTTTTAGACATTCAGAAAATGACCACTCACTGTTCTGTAAAAAGGATGGCCTTTCAATAGTATTTGTGGCTGTCTATGGTGATGATGTGATTCTTACAGGTACAGATGTAGAAGAAATTAAAGCACTAAAGGTTTTCCTCCATGATCAGTTCAAAATCAAGGATTTAGGAAAGTTACACTATTTCCTGGGACTAGAATTGTTCTACAAGGATGATGGAGTCCTCATTTCACAGAGGAAGTTCACTGCAGATCTGTTGAGAGAGTATGACAATCAGTACACTACAGTCTCCTCTCCTCTTGACTGTACTGTCAAGTTGAAGGCAGAAGAGGGAACCCTGCTAGCAGATCCCACTCACTATAGAAAGTTAGTTGGGAAACTTAACTTCCTCACCAATACAAAGCACTTAAGTCAATTTATGCAAACACCCAGAGAACCTCACCTTAAAGCTGCCCTTCATGTCTTAAGGTATCTTAAGAATGATCCAACCTTGGGCATTTTCTTTTCTAACAACCCAGATTGCACTATGAAGGCTTTCTGTGACTCAGACTGGGCTGCATGCCCTGATTCTCGACGATCAATGAGTGAATACATTGTCTTGTTAGGTGATAGTCCAATCAGCTGGAAGTCCAAGAAACAGGAAACAGTCTCCCTCTCCTCTGCAGAAGCAGAATACAGTCTCTCTCTCCTCTGCAGAAGCAGAGTACAGATCAGTAAGAAAAGTAGTTGGAGAACTAATCTGGCTTAAGAGACTGCTAGAAGAATTGACAGTTCCTTGCTTACATCCTATCTCAATCTTTTGTGATAGCCAAGCTGCAATACACATGGCAAGAAACCCAGTGTTTCATGAGCGTACCAAGCACATAGAGGTGGATTGTCATTTTGTACGAGACAAGTTACATGATGGCCTCATCACTTTGCATCACATTCCCACAGATGCTCAGCTAGCAGACATATTTACGAAGACCTTAACAGGGATCAAACATACTTCTATTCTTGGCAAGTTGGCAGTGAGTTCCTCACCTCCAACTTGAGGGGGGGTATTGAGAGTATTGTAGAAGTATTTATGTAGTTGAGGGTACTTTTGTAATTAGCTAAATATAGTATGTGTATATGTACAGTACAATACAGATATACATTTTACTTTTTCTCTTTATCAAAAACGCCGGTTTTTCTCTCTCTCTCCAGAACCTTCCACCATCTTCTCTTCTTCTCTCTCGTTTGTTTTCTCCGAGCTTCAATCACCACATCAATGGTGATTTATGCTCGTGTCTGAGTCTTTGTTCTCGACAAACGTAAAAACATAAAAGCATCCAACAAAAACCTTTAAGGCAATGAGCTGAGTAACTTAATATCTTTATAAATCCCTTTATAAGCTCTTACAATATCTAATATGAATAAATAGAACTCAACAACCTTGAACCTCCAGAAGTTTAATTAAGACCTTTATATATAACTAAACAACCCTGGCTCCTCCAGAAGTTAAAATTAATTTGGCTGCATTTTATAAAGTATGTTCTCTCTATCCCAAAGAATCTTTATTGGTTCTTTATTCCCAGAATAAGTTGAAGCTAACATTTCCTTTCTCCTCCCTTCCGAGTGCCAACCAAAAATCTTCTTGTGGAGGTAGACCCTTAAGATCATGACGGTTGATCTGACTTAGGAATTCATTCGATACCGTTTTCCAAATGATTTTTGCTTATGCTTGCAAGTTACAGATTTGAAACTGACACCACCTCTTTGTTTAATTTGCACACATACAGTTGAGATGGTCTAGATCAATACATGTAGAAGGTCGAAGTAGGTCCTAAACAAATGTCTACACATACATATATGAACCACAAGCTCCTAAATGGAGATATAGACGTAAATGCAAGAGAAAATGATGGTTGACAAAAGAGGAAAAGGAATAATGGCTATACAGTTAGAAGATCTGTTAGGGAGAAAAGCAGATCATAAGGCACATGTACAACTGTGTGACGAGATCACCCTTCCATGTCAGTTTGACCATATGTTAACTTCAAGCCCACAACACCACAAAGGGAAGAAGGAATTCGAATTGAACCTGTCCTTACACATTAAATCAAGCATCAATAAACATACTGGTTTTATGAAGATTGAATAAGTGGATTCTTGAGTGTGACATGGTGTAGGTGTACAACCTCCTCCGTCCGTTCCCAGAGCAGCGGAACACAATCCTGAAGCCACAATAGCTGCAGGGCCTGAGGAAGACCCTCCAGTATACCTATCGGGATCATGTGGGTTTCTTGTAGTCCTGTCACAAAGATATTTTTAACTCAGGAATGTTATAGGGTAGAGAAGAAAGACTCTGTTCACAACAATTAATGTACAGCTCTTGAGTTTCCCACCTCAGGATATACTGCAAAGGAAGTCTATGAAGCTGGTGTTACATTTAAAAAAGAAAGGAAATGTCTGAGGACTGCCTTACAAAAGGGTCAAATGCAATTTAACATTTCGCGTACACAAAACTTTCTACAAAAAGAGTATATAATGAACACCGAGAACAATTTAACTGTCATTTGTAGCCTCTAGGCAACACATACCCATAGTTTGCGTTATTTCCAGTAGTACCCATGCCCAACTCATGCATGTTTGCCTTTACAACCAAAATTGCACCGCAACTTCGTAATCTCGACACAGAAATAGCATCCTTCTTTACCTCACGAACCTCATGCATCCATGTCGTTGCTCCTGTTTGCATCAATTATATAACTAAATCTGGCAATAGGACTTGGTCAGCAGATGAAAACTAAAATACATACCCTTTGAAGGGTGAGGATAGCAATCAATATCATCCTTGATTGACATGAAAATCCCATCCAAGATTGACAGTGGATTCCCTGCTTATTTGCCAGTCAGAAAAGTATTATTCTGACAAATCATAGATTGCAAGTATATAAATTATGGAGTATTATTCACTTACAGTTCGATGATGTATACAGCACTAGAAACATGTATATATTGAAATACCTGTCACGCCCCTTTTTTACCCCCAAAAAAGATATGTTATGGATTTTTGTGAGTTAAAGAGTTTTTCCAATTAAAGTGACAATTTTTTGATAGGGATTATTTTATTTACAAAGTCGCCACTTGGAATTGAGTTTTGATGTTCCAAGTCACCTTATTGAATCCCTAATCAAAAGGAAATTGACTCTATTTATTATTGGTCTGCGAAAACAAAGTCTGGGTAAGGAATTTTGTTGACCGGAGAGAAGGTGTAAGACATTCCCCAAGTCTCGTGGTTCTAGCACGGTCGCTTTAATTTATTGACTACATTTGGCCTGAATTAATTTTAGATAAACTGTGATTTATTGGTTACCATGTTTTATCTATCCTATTTTAATTATTAAAATATGGAATTATCTTTGAAACGAATCGAGTGTGTAATCCGTTTTGTTTATTGTGCCAAAATCATGTCACGCATACGTGTACACAATTAATAGCATTTTATTATATTAAGATTGTTTTGGCCAAAGTTGCGCGAACACATACTTCGGTTTTAATTTTGGAAATCACAATTATGTCATGCGAACGTATACATAATCGCGATAAACTAATTAAAAGCGCGCCTAAAACACTCTAACGGTATTCATTATTCTTCTTGAACTTTGAGATTATTGTAAGGTCATGAGTTATGGATTTATTGCGAAGAAATGATCTAACTTAATCATTGAGCTAATCAGCCAAGAAATGGAGATGATTGGCAATTATTTAACAACTGAAGTAAGTCAGCTTTGTATTTCGTTATTTGTTTTTGGCCGAGCCAAAATTATGCTGAAGACCACGCTAAGCTCTAGGTACGTGAAAGAACTAAACTTTAAAATTCAGACCCAACTGATGGCTTCTTTTCTTCCCATTCTTAAACCAAAACGTCCCAATTCGATTATTAGAGCCCAACGCCACTAATTCATTAGAAAAATTCATATGACCCCATACTTTTAGCATTAAACAGTAACTCTGCATTCATGACAATAGTGGAATGAAGACCCACATCAACTAGAAGCGAAGTAACAGATCATCTCAAGGCATACAAATACAATCAATAAATAAAGCATGTCAAATAAGAACCAATCAGGAAACTCATTTCAAATTGCACAACTAACTTTGTAAAGAGGAAAAGAATGGATCTTCTGTAGGTACTCCTCCATATAAGAAGTACTAACGCGAGAAATCAGATCAACTCAAGTTTGTCACACACATATATACAGATTCTCATTAACAGTACTATTTTGTTAAAACATGCATTATAAAACTCCAAAAGTTATATATTAATCAAGGGTGAAGCAAAAAATGAACCTTTACATGAATCTGGGCTTTTGATTTGGCAATTGGAACGAACATGACACACCAACCAGAGAGCCTCGACACTGACCTCGAACGGATTCAACTCGACCGAGCTTGGACGACGGTTTTGGATGTCAAAAGGGGCTGTTTTATGCTGGAGTTTGGAGGCTGTTTTGAGGGTGTTTTGGAGCTAGCTGGTGTTTTGGAGCTAGCTTCTGGTGCTATTTGATTAGGAAAAAAGGATGGTATTATGGGTGAAGTTTCATGGAGGTTCATGGCTGTATTTTCATGGTAAACACTTGGTGTTTTATTTTGTTGAAGAGGAAAGAGCCACTGCTTTTCTTAGAGGATGAAGCTGATGCGCAGCTTTTGGATGCTAGAGCTCTAGGTTTTTTTTTTGTTTTGTTTTCGGTCCTCTTCTTCTCTCCTGTTGTGCCAAGAATGTCTTTTTTGTGTGATGAGTGTGTGTTTTTTATATAAGAGAGAGATGAGGGAGTGTGAGTTGGTAAAGAGGAAGAATGAGATTGTGAGTTGTTAAAGAGGATGAGTGGGAGTGTGGGTTGTTAAAGAGGAAGAGTGGGAGTGTGAGTTGTGAGGGAATAATTGTGTTGGTGGTAATATGTGTGCCAAGAATGTCTTTTTTGTGTGATGAGTGTGTTTTTTTATATAAGAGAGAGATGAGGGAGTGTGAGTTGTTAAAGAGGAAGAATGGGATTGTGAGTTGTTAAAAAGGATGAGTGGGAGTGTGAGTTGTTAAAGAGGAAGAGTGGGAGTGTGAGTTGTGAGGGAATAATTGTGTTGGTGGTAATATGTGTGATATAATTTTCTTAATAACTATAAAATATGAAATAAGAGCTAAAATATGTAGATTAAACTTAAAATATATTTACATACTAAAAAGTGGTAAAAATTCAAGCATGATTAGGTGCTCACAATACCTTGTTCAAATCTTTGTGTAGAAGCAGCAGCTTGCTTTCTCACTTCGTCTGGGTCAAAAGAAATTAACAGTGGTGCTGGGGGCTTCTTATTATTGAACTCCTCAATGGCTGAGATGAAGCGCTCTGCAACCTGTAACACAGGGAATAGCATCTTTAATCCTAGAGACTACACGAAAGAAACAAAACCAAGCAACCACAGAAGTGCCTTGCCATAGATGGAGTAGTAAACTTAGATCTGTATGCATATGCATAATCACGAATATTCCAATAGCGGAATGATGCAGTTGAATCACCGCTCCAATTGCTAGATGGATCATATTCTGGAAGACACTTTAAGGCTAGCTCAACCCGCTTTTCAGGCTTTCCGTCTTCTTCCAGGCCGACAACAGCAAGTCCTGGCTCTAAAGTCAGGAAATACAAACCGAATTAGTGCCAAGTATACAGCACTTCTGTATCATGGCGAGGTCACCATGGACATTTGATGACAGGTCCCACATTTTTATCTTACAATATGTGTGTGCGCACGCGCAAGTGTGTGTATGAACATATATACATCTTCTGCATCCATGTTGATGCCATCAATTTTAACAGGTTTTATCATCACGATATGATTATGGAAGATCTCACTGTTTTGTTACTGATGCACTGCCTTACAATTAGAGTAGCCCCAACTTCCACGATTAGGAAGAAAGAAATGCAGTTGTTCAACAAGATCACATAATTTTAACAAGTTTTATAATAACCAATATGATTATGGAATCTCACTATTTTGTTACTGTTGTACTGCCTAACAGTTACAGTTTTATAACAGCAGTGTCCTGACCAACTTGCGTATACCTACAGTAGGTAACCTACTAATCCACCATGTAATTGCTACATCCTACTAGCATATATATATATTGCACATAAATACAAAAAATTACGAATTGAACCTCATCAATTTTGTTTTCATTCTTGAGGCAATTCATAATCAAAGATCCAATACCCGGTGCTTCAACCAGCTTTAAGAAAAACTTGAACCAGACACTGTTGGGAAACGTGTCACGCTAATAGAAGGGAAAAAATATTTGAAAGAGAAGCAATAAATTGCACAAGAGAAGACAAGAGAAGATTTACGTGGTTCGGCAATTTTTGCCTACTCCACGGCCACACAAAGAATAGCTCTTTATTAATTGAAGAGAGAAAGAAGAAATTGAGGGATGATTTGCAAATGAAAATGCATACCCCTTTTATAGGCATTTGAATGCCCTGCCGACGTGAGCGCTTACATCATAAGAATATCGATGTAAGCGCATACATCATAAGAATATCGATGTAAGCGCATACATCATAAGAATACCGATGTAAGCGCTTACATCATATTTTCATCTCTTTTTGACTTTTCTTTCTTTTGTTTTGTCTACTTTTCTTTCTTTCACATACAACAACAGGCTTGCTCCTATCAATCTCCCCCTCAAACCTATGTTACATAAAGAAAGAAATTAAAAACAAAATTGCTATTCTCTGGTGGCGCCTTCACACTATCAGTTTTGAAACATCAAGAAAGAAATTTTAAAAAAAAATTGCTATTCTCTGGTGGCGCCTTCACACTATCAGTCTTGAAGGCTAACTGAGGCAGTGCACTGCCTCAGTTTGTCAACACCGACAACATTGGTCAACATGTCTGACGGGTTCTTTGATCCTGGTATCTTCTGCAGGGAAAGAGTTCCTTCATTTATCAACTTATGGATGTGATGATACCTCAGCTGGATATGCTTCGATCTTGCATGAAACACTAGATTCTTGGCAAGATAAATTGCACTCTGGCTATCGCTGAAAAGCTCACAGTTGTCCTGCTTTTTACCTAACTCTTTAAGAAAGTTTTTGAGCCAGATCATCTCTTTTCCACCTTCTGAGATTGACATGTACTCTGCTTCTGTGGTAGATAGAGCAACACTTTTCTGAAGTCTGGACATTCAGCTAACAGCAGTACCACCCAAGGTGAACACGTAGCATGTGGTACTTTTTCGACTATCCAGATCGCCGTGTAAATTTGCATCAGCAAAATCTTGTAAGATAATATTGCTCCTTTTAAAACAAAGTGTCATACCCGAGGTGCCTTTGAGATATCGCAATATCCATTTTACACCTTCCCAATGCTCCTTTCCTGGATTTGACATATATCTACTGACAACTCCAACTGCATGGGCTATGTCAGGTTTAGTGCAAACCATAGCATACATCAAACTTCCTACTGCTGAAGCATATGGAACTTTGGACATGTACTTCCTTTCTTCATCTGTCTTAGGTGATTGGTCCTTCGACAGATTAAGATGGCTTCCGAGTGGAGTGCTTCTGGTCTTTGCATCATGAAGACCGAACCTGCTTAGTACCTTCTGTATGTACTTTTCTTGAGACAATTTTAAGATTACTTCAGACCTGTTTCTGCTAATCCTCATCCCAAGCATTTGTTTAGCTGAACCTAAATCTTTCATTTCAAACTCCTCCGCCAGTTGTTGTTTAACCCTGTTGATCTTATTTATGCTAGATCCTGCAATTAGCATATCATCAACATACAACAGTAAAATGATATAGGATTTATCAAGATTTTTGATATAACAGCAATGGTCCATCTCACATCTTGTGAAACCATTATTATGCATGAATCCATCAAATTTCTTGTACCATTGTCGGGGTGCTTGTTTCAAACCATACAAACTCTTATTCAACTTACACACAAGGTTTTCTTTACCAGAAACTTGAAAACATTCAGGTTGCTTCATGTAGATGTCTTCTTCAAGGTCACCATGCAAGAAAGCAGTTTTAACATCCAGCTGCTCCAAATGCAAATTTTCTGAAGCTATGATACTTAGCACCAACCTGATAATAGTTAATTTGACTACATGAGAGAAGATCTCGGTATAGTCAATCCCTTCCTTCTGTTGAAAGCCTTTTACTACTAATCGTGCTTTGTATCTCTTCTTACCAGCATGCTCTTCCTTGACCCTGTACACCCACTAGTTTTGCAATGCCTTCTTTCCTTTTGGTAACTGTATATGTATCCATGTTTTATTCTTTTGAAGAGAATTCATCTCTTCTTTCATGGCTAGCTTCCACTTATCAGAGCTTATCAACTGCATTGCTTCAACAAAATACTCTGGTTCTCCAGCATCAGTCAGAAGTAAATAGTGGAGAGAGAGAGTTAACCTATCTGGAGCATTTGTGACTCTTTTAGATCTCCTTAATGTAGGTTCAAGAGTGACTGATCCCGAATTTGATTCAAGTCCTGACTCCAGATTTGGTTCTGCATTTGATTCTATCTCTGGTTTCCGTTCTAGTTCTGATCCAGATTCGGCTTCTAGTTCTTCATCTTCAATTTCAAAATCAGTTGTAATCCCTCTAGCCACTTCATTTTCTGAGATTTCTTTTAGCTCAACTGTTTCAGATGTCTGTTTGCTGATGCTGGTTGGTTCTACTTCAAGCTTGTCCTTATACATCACATTTTCATTAAATATGACATTCATGTGTCTTAGGATCTTTCTATTCTGATCATCCCAAAATCGATAACCAAAATTATCATCACCATAGCTAATAAAGAAACATTTCTTGGCCTTACTATCAAGCTTATCTCTATCATTAGAGTTTACATGCACATAAGCAACACAACCAAAAAAATTCAGATGTGAGAGAGTTACCTCCTTTCCTGTCCATACCTACTCAGGAATTTTAAAATTCAGCGGTATAGAGGGTCCCATGTTTATGAGGTAAGCTGCCGTGTTAACAGCCTCGGCCCAAAAATACTTCGTCAATCCAGAATGTATTCTCATACTTCTGGGTCGTTCATTCAGGGTTCTGTTCATCCTCTCAGCAACGCCATTTTGTTCCGGTGTTCCAGTAATGGTCTTGATCATTCTGATCTCATTCTCAGAGCAGAATGCTTTAAACTCTTGACTATCATATTCTCCTCCATTGTCAGACTTCAGACATTTTAACTTTAGACTTGTCTGGTTTTTAACTTCAGCTTTTCATCTTTTAAAGGTAACAAATACATCAGATTTATTTTTCAGAAAATAAACCCATACCTTTTTTGTGGAATCATCAATTAAGGTGACATAATAGTGTGATCCCTCCAGAGAAGTTACAGGAGCTGGTCCCCACACATCTGTATGCACTAGTTCCAGCTTATCTTTCTTTGGCGTCCTTCCCGCCTTTGAGAAACTAAGTCTCTTTTATTTCCCGTAAATGCAATCTTCGCACAAACCTAATTCGACATGCTTTAGATTTGGAAACTTTTCTTTGGATGCCAACAACTTCATTCCCTTCTCACTCATATGCCCGAGCCTCCGGTGCTACAATGTTGTATCACGACCATGATCAACTGTTGCTATAGTATCTCTCTGTATTGCAGTTGCATACAGTGTTCCCTTCTTGAAGCCTCGTGCCACAACCAAATTTCATTTGGTTATCTTCCACGATCCGTTACCGAATGTTGTTGTATACCCTTCACTGTCAATCTGACCCATAGATATCAGATTTTTCTTGAGTCCAGAAATATGTCAGACATTTTGCAATTTCCATAGCGTGCCTTGTGAAGTCTTTATATGAACTTCACATTTCCCGACAATGTCCAGAGGTTCATCGTCTGCTAGATAAACCTTCCCAAATTTTCCAGTAATATAATTATGCAATAATTCTTTGCATGATATAGAGTGAAAGGATGCACCTGAATCTAGAATCCAAGATTCGACTGGACTGTCTGCACAATAAATTAGTGCATCACCGACTTGTTCAGCAATTGCATTTGCTGAATTATCATCCTTGTATTGATCGTTCTTTTTCTTCTTTGGCTCTCTACACTGACTACTGTAGTGACCCTTTTTATTGCAATTCCAACACATAATGTCTTTGCGATTTTTGGATTGCCCTCTTCTCCTTGACTTTGATCTGCCACGACCATGACTTTGTCCTCTTTGGTTGCTTCTCCCCTGCTTTCGGTATTAAAAGCAGATCCTGGGGAATCACTTGATTCTCTTCGGCTAATATCTTCGCTTAGAACCAAGTCTCTAATATCATTCAATTTGAGTTTGGTATTTCCCGATGAACTGCTAACTGCAATTACCGTTGCAGACCAACTCTTCGGTAGAGATGATAGTAGAATCAACGCCCTGACTTCGTCATCGAATGTTATATTAACAGAACTCAACTGAGTTAATATTATATTAAACTCATTGATATGTTTCGTGACAGATCCACCTTCTGTCATCTTTAAGTTGAACAATCGATGCATCAAATAGACTTTATTTGAAGCAGATGACTTCTCGTACATATTTGATAACGCCTTCATCAGGCCTGCAGTGGTCTTCTCGTTAATAATGTTAAACGTCACATTTCGTGTTAGCGTCAAACGAATCACACCAAGAGCTTGGCGATCTAATAGATCCCAATCCGCTTTGGCCATAGTCTCTGGTTTTACCTCGGTCAGAGGTAAGTGTAATTTTTTCTGGTACAAATAATCCTCTATTTGCATTTTCCAGAATCCAAAATTTTTGCCATTGAACTTGTCAATCTTAACTTTCCCTTCTTCCGCTTCCCTTCTTCCTATGCCATTTTTCTCAAGAAAATTTATGTGAATAGTGCATGTGAATAGTAATGATGATCAATAGTGTCGTACTATTCTTGTGAATAGTACTTGCACCGATACCGTACTTTTCTACCAGAATTATATTGTCTGTGCTCTGATACCAGTTGTTGGGAAACGTGTCAGGCTAATAGAAGGGAAAAAAATATTTAAAAGAGAATCAATAAATTGCACAAGACAAGACAAGAGAATATTTACGTGGTTCGGCAATTTTTGCCTATTCCACGGCCATACAAAGAATAACTCTTTATTAATTGAAGAGAGAAAGAAGAAGTTGAGGGATGATTTGCAAATGAAAATGCATACCCCATTTATAGGCATTTGAATACTCTGCCGACGTAAGCGCTTACATCATAAGAATGCCGATATAAGCGCATACATCATAAGAATACCAATGTAAGCACTTACATCATATTTTCATTTCTTTTTGACTTTTCTTTCTTTTGTTTTATCTACTTTTCTTTCTTTCACATACCACAACTGGTTTGCTCCTATCAGACACCAGTCAAATGTG